AACTTCCAATCACAAACGTCCCATTGGGGTCGGAACTCACGGAACGGAGTGGAATGAGCAGGGTGAAAGGCTGTCTGAGTTTATCATGTCGACCCATACCATCCATGGTAACTCGCAGTTCCAGAAGCCCTACTCTCTACGCTGGACATGGGAGTCTCCTGGTGGACAATTCCATAACGAGATCGACCACATCTTCAATCGAAGGTTTTGCCTGACCGATGTCGCTGTTGTTCCTAAGTTCTACACGGGATCCGACCATCGTCTCCTTCGCGCAAGATTCCGCTTTTCGATGCGAGGAGAGAGAGCCGCAAAGTTCAAGAAGCGAAGCCCCAAGACCGTCATCAACTGGGATCACTTCACTTCTCTCGCTGGGCTCTGGGAGGATTCCGTCATCGACAACATCGACGAGGAATACGAACGGCTTGTCGCACATCTTCACGACTGCGCCAAGAAGTCAGAGGGTTCCAAGATTACCAAGAAGCGTCTATCTCTGGAAACTCTCGAGCTGATTCGCCAACGTGGAGCCGCACGAGCCGCAGGCAATTACCAGCTGACGTCTGAGCTTGCGAAGCTATGCAGAGAAGCGATAAAGGAAGACCTCAGAGAGAGCAGCAGTACTGGTGGAAGCCGCAGAGGCTGGGAAGAGCATACGCAACGCCCGCCGCGACTTCGCCAACTGTAAGACCAAGATGACCGCCCTCCGACGTCCGGATGGAACAATCACCGCATCCAGAAGGGCAATGGAAGGTCATCCACGACTTCTACTCGGATCTCTTTGACAGCCACGTCCACCTGCAACCATACCGCTTGGAGCAGGATGGATATGTCGTTCCTGCAGTTCTCCCTTCCGAAGTCCGACACGCCATCTCGTCGGTGAATCGTACGGCACCCGGTCCCGACAGGATCAGACCCGAACATCTGAAGAATCTTCCGCCAGTTCTTGTCAAAACTCTGGCTCGACTCTTCACGCGCTACCTGTCGGAATGCAAGGTACCCACCTCGTGGAAAACCAGCAAGACTGTGTTGCTGTACAAGAAGGGAGACCTGTACGACATTGGCAATTATCGCCCAATCTGCCTGCTGTCTGTAGTCTACAAACTCTTCACACGAGTCATCCTGAACAGGATTGGCAGAACACTAGACGAAGGACAGCCATGCGAGCAAGCAGGGTTTCAAAGAGGATTCAGCACA